GGTCAATTGGTCGGTGGCTTTTAAATTAAAACAGGCCCTTTCTCGGCCAGGCTTGATGGATCCACCGTCACTTTGCGCGGTACTTTTAAGACAGACTGTACCTACATACTCACTCATCCCTGTCGTAAACTCCTTTGAAAATCCGCTCATTGAAAATAATACAAAGCTGCTGTGTATTATTTGACCGTATGTCCGGCCGGCACAGACCGGCTCGGCCAGCGCAGACCGGCTCGGTCAGCACAGACCGACTCGGCCAGCACAGACCGGCTCGGCCAGCGCAGACCGGCTCGGCCAGCACAGACCGGCTCGGCCAGCGCACAGACTAGTGATGTCAATTACAGAAAATCTGAATACCGATACCAAACCAAATACCAACCAAAACCGTGTGGAAATACCGAAACCGAACCAACATGGGAACATGAGGGAAATACCAACTTTTTACCAATTTCCTAGTCTCTTACACATTAGTGAGGGTTCATAATACCAACAAAATACCAAACACATTATGATTGAAATACCAAATACCAAGTTGGTATCGGTTTGGTATCGGTATACCAAAAAGTTGGTATCCGATTGACATCTCTAGCACAGACCGGCTGGCTGCCTCCGACCGGACTCTGTCGTTACGCTACATAAACGGTCTCTGAGCACGGGCAGCGGCAGTGGCGACCGCTGCTGGCGGCGCGGGCGGATTTCGGGCCGCCGGGAGGCTATCAGCAGTCGCCGCCCGACTCGGCCGCTAGCCGTCCGATGGTTTCCAGCGGGACACTTGGCGCGGCCGTCTGCTGCACAACTGTGCGGTATTTTTAGCCCGGTATGGCGGCTCACAGCCCCGCAGCTCAGCCGGGGAGGCCATTCGCGGTCTGGCGTCCGCGGCTCTTATCGACAGCTTCGGTGACAGATTCAATTATCGTTTGTCAGTGCTGTTTATGCTGCGTATAAACAGCAATATATCATTAGTTCGGCCATCCGAATTCCCACTGCAATGTGTGATTGGTTGGAGCTGTATATAATGGCTCTGGTATAGGTATGCACCAGTCACACCGTTCCATGCTTCTATCCTCAGGATACGGAAATCCTTCTCCACGCCGCAACCCCCCTCCGGGCTGGACAGGCAACTTTTATCTCATGCGGGCTGCTCCCTTGGAGCGGCACCGCTGCTCCCGAGGGAGCGCACCCCGTAGCCGGGTGCAGTGAGTACCTTGGGGCTGATCGGCCTGTCCTTCGGGATGGGCTCAGCCCCGGTGACTCACTAGGGTGCCTGCCCAGACCAATGTCTTCCCCTAAGGGTGCACGTCAGAATAGCTAGTGACATTTGAGCTAGTGACTTTTGAGCTAGTACAAAACAGCTAGTGCCTCAAAACAGCTAGTGACAAAACAGCTAGCGTCAATATAGCTAGTAGAGCAAAATAGCTAGTGCTTCATTATAGCTAGTGACAAAATCGCTAGCGTCAAAATAGCTAGTGAAGCTAAATAGCTAGTGCTTAAAAACAGCTAGTGACAAAACAGCTAGCGTCAAAATAGCTCTTTCGTTGGACCTCTGTTCCCTTCCCAATCACTTCGCTTCGAAAATGCAAGGTATCTATGACTCATGTATTTCCCGCGTCATGCCATCTCAAACATTCAAAGTGATGTTGAAGCCTACTCCCCGAATGAATTCTTTTTTGCTAATAATGCCTTCCCTGTAGCGTCTCAGTAGAGTGACCAATCTGGCATTCATGTCTCTGTATGTTTTCTTTTGTTTTTGAACATCCTGGCCACTTTTGAATTTCACAAGATCAGATGTTTGAAGATTTTGTTCTTTTTGGATGGCGGTGAAAAATCTCATTAATGATGGGTGTGATGAGTCAAACATGCCTTGTATTCCCCGGTGCCACGCTTCTAATTTGTTGTTTGTCCTAGGGATCCCTTCCTCTGTCCTCCTTCTAACATTCCAAATAATTTTGTCAAACAACGGTGCTCTTCTGCTTCTTCTACCCAGCCTTCCTATATATGTATCTTCAAAGTAATCGTATAATTGATGTAATCCTTCTTCCCCCAGCCGTTCCACTTCCTCTTGTAATTCCTCAAAAGTTTCAACAATTTGCGACGTTTCGAAGAATGCTAGCGCACATAGTGATTTGATGGCTTCTCGGACTGATGGCTTGTCCCGATACTGCGGGACAAGACCGCTGGCCTGAACCTTACGCCAAACAGCTTGAGTCAAATGAAAAAAAAAACATCCCTCTACTGAGACGTCAGGGAAGGCATCGCGGAGGGCCCTTTTGGCCGACAATTCGAAATCAATAACACACGTACGCGGTTGCAGATCTCTAAATGACTTTAAAATTTCGAAGAATTTTCGGTATGTTGCGAAAGTTTTGTCCGGAAGAAGTGCATAAACGCAAGGGAAAACATGGCCTGAGTCACCTACAACCACATGAATGGTGTATAACTGACTAAAAAGTACTGGTGAAATTTTGAAAGTTCCGTCGAGCATCCATGTATCGTTCGCCGCCAGTTCGTCAAGCATTTGGTCGGTCGCAAAAACTATGATTCGGTCGTTCGGTCGTTCGTTGTAATCGTCTTCGTTTTCGGCGTTGTCGTATAATAAAAAGCGTACGTCTTCTTCCCCTTGCTTAACAAATTTAAATTTTTCGGGAATTTGAATTTCTGCCCTCGTCGATGGCTCCGGGGCATATCCTACCAGCCTTCTTCTTTTTCTTTGCAGCCTTAACCCTCGCCCATGTAGGGGGGGGGGGGTTGGTGCAACCCCCCCCCCCTGAGGTTTTTCTTAGCTACACGCCGAACCGTTTCAGATAGCCTGCTCAAATTTTCAGTACCTTTTGGGGCATCCTTTGCGCAACTTTTGGTAAAAAAAATTTGTCAAGGTCATGTCAGGTCACGTCATATGACGTCATAAAGGGAACAACCTCCGGCCAGATTTACGCTAAATTGGAGATTGCTTCACATTGGTATAAATGCCGACTGACCTGACACACTGATGGATTGTTTTAGAATCACAACTGGCTGATTTGACATTGGCACAATGTCCGTTGACATTTTGAAGGTTACTTAAGGTCAAGGTCAGGTCAGTGACCTCGGTTGACCTGTAATGACTTCTTGCACTTTTATGCCTTTTCGGGGTATTTTGATGCCCTGAATTCGAATTTGCTATCCATTTCAGGCATCGTCGGTTGTTTCTTGTAGTTCATTTTGGGTCAGGGTCAGGTCAGTGACGTCACACGCCTGACGTGACCCAATGCACAAATGACCTTGCAGATTTCCGATGCTCCCAACGCATCATTTTTAGAGTTATGACATCGAAATATACACCAAACGATAGAGAATTGATCAAGGATCACGATAGTGAATGTTTCAAGTCGATATCTCTTACCGTTTTGCCGCAATCGGCGCGGAAATCTGAAAAAGTTAGATTTTTCCGAAAATTTGACCTTTGACCGGTCATAAGTAGGTCAAATGTTGACCTAGGACCAAAAAATATACCACCAATCGCGAGATCTCGTTGAGAGCAAGCCGTTGGTCTTTTCCGCTAAGCTCTACGACGCTCCGTTTTCAAACGCCAGGGGGGGTCGCACCAACCCCCCCCCCCTGCATGGGCGAAGGTGGCAAAACACCGTTTACGGGCGAGGGTTAATGTAATGTTCTTTCGTTTCGGAGCCATGGCTTGTGCCTCCACACTAATGTTAATATCACTTATGATGCGTCGGGGAGGTAACTGAGATGTACTTGCGGAATTTAAAGCTTGATGTAGTGAGGAGGCAATTTCGGTACGCACTGAATCGGGAGGATGATTATGTGGTTGTTTCTCGATAATTTCGCCACCATTAATGTAAGTAACAGGTGTGGAAGCAGAGCCCTTGCATCTTGCTATTTCGCAGCGCCAGCTCTGTGTTGTAACATTTGTTGTGTTTTTGCGGTAAATGTATCCATTGTAAATAATCTTGTCTGCTCCCCTGTTTGATTTTATTATTTCCATTGCAACAAATTTAACTTTTGGGTAATGAAAAAGTGGCAATTTTGAAAGAATTAAAAATTTGGAAATATCAACTCACTCCAAAAAACGACAATAATAACTGAACGGAAAAATAAACACGCGAATTTAACTTGAAGACAACAAAAACACGCGCAAAAATTAAGAAAACGAGCAAAATCTTCACAGAGGGCTCGTCGGGAAAGAATCTATAATAGCTGCCCGTACTTCGTACGAATAAGCTACAGCTTCATTAGTTATTTCGACGCTAGCGATTTTGTCACTAGCTATAATGAAGCACTAGCTATTTTGCTCTACTAGCTATATTGACGCTAGCTTTTTTGTCTCTAGCTGATTTGAGGTACTAGCTGTTTTGCATTCCTAGCTATTTTGGCGCTATCTGTTTTAAAGCACTAGCTCTTTTGTACTAGCTCAAAAGTCACTAGCTCAATAGTCACTAGCTGTTTTGACGTGGACCCTCCCCTAATTTCTATCATCCTTCCGGCTCTGAAATGGTCTAATTGGACCGAAAGGGCCTAACCCAACAAAAAAAAAAAAATATGCACCAGTGAACGCCCGACGTCTGTGTCAGCCGGCATTACAGCTCGTGTCTGTGTGTGGCTGCAGGCCCCGTGCTGGGTCCCCACGAGAAGTGGGAACCCTTACGGCTCCATTACAGAACGCGTGTGTGTGTGGTTGCAGGCTCTGTGCAGGATCCCCACGAGAAGGCAGGGACCTTACGGCTCCATTACAGGACGCGTTTGTGTGTGATTGCAGGCTTTGTGCAGGGTCCACACGAGAAGCAGGGTTACAGTTCTCGTCTGTGTGTGGTTGCAGGCTCCGTGCAGGGCCCCCACGAGACGCGGGGTTAAAGTTCTCGTTTGTGTGTGATTGCAGGCTCCGTGCAGGGTCCACACGAGAAGGCAGGGACCTTACGGTTCCATTACAGGACGCTCTTGTGTGGGGCGCTCTGTGTAGGGTCCCCACGAGAAGCGGAGTCAGAGTTCTCGTTTGTGTGTGATTGCAGGCTCCGTGCAGGGTCCACACGAGAAGCGGGTGTTGGACAAGCTGCTGTCCGACTACAACGTGCTGGAGCGGCCGGTAGCCAACGAGTCGGAGCCCATCGTCATCAGCTTCGGCATCTCCCTGCAGCAGATCATCGACGTGGTGAGTCCTCCGTCCTCTGCCCTCCGCCCTTCGCGCGACCTCCGCGGCACCGACCGTGAGTCCTCCGCCCCTCACACGACCTCCGCGGCACCGAACACGACCTCCTCGGCACGGGCCGAGCCGCCAGAGCTGCGGGCCTCCATTTCACGGCGGCATTTCTCCGCGGCACCTCTGCCCGGCAGGTGATCGATCAGATCCGGCCCATCTCCGGGGCCTGTGACAGCTGGCTTCAACCCGACCTGACCCGGCCCAATCCGACCTGACCCGGACCAACCCGACCCAGCCCGACCCGATCCATTCTGATCCGACTGACAGGGCCCAACGCGACCCGACGTGACTCGACCCAGCCTGACCCGACCCAGCCTGACCCGGCTGACCGGCCCCGACCCGACCCGACCCGCCGCCTCCGGCCGCCCGCAGGCTGGGGTCGAGCGGCGGCGGATGCGGCCGAGCCGACCCGTTACGTCCGATCAATACAGCTTCAGTCCCCCGTTCGGCCACTCGCTGCAGTTTCACCTCTCGCGTCGCTTGGCGACTCGTGTAGCGTCTGCTCTGTCGGGGCGGACAGGACGGTGGGCACTGTCGGGGCAGATCGCTCATCGGACGCTCCCCCCCCCCCCCCGTCGGGCCGCCGACGGTACCGGCGCGCCGCCGCTGCCTAATGGACTTACGGAGATGGGCGCCGAGTGGGAGGATCGGCCGGGCGCGGCACGACAGGCCGCGGCCGGCCGCGCACCGCGCAGCCAATAACACGGCGGGCCACAGCGGGGACATGGGGTGGCCACAGCGGGGACATGGGGTAACGATAGCGAGCCCATGGGGTGACGTTATAGTGAGGGCAGATCCCGCCAACTGGCCGCCGGGACACACAGCACCAAAGGCGCCACTGCCGGAGTGGTGGTGGGTTTGGAACCGATACAACCGATCAATCGTCACCACATCATACAATAAAAAGATCCCTCAAGTACAGGAATAACTTTAAAAATGGGTCGGCGACGGGTCGCCGACTCTCTGGTCCATGCCGGGGTGGTCGGTCGGCCCCTGGTGTTGGGGCCATCCCTCGGAGGCCGGTCAGCCGATGAGTGTCGAGTCCAGCCCGCGGGGATCGACCCTGATTGTTGGGTCCATCCCGCACAGATCGGCCCCGGGTGTCGGGTCCATCCCGCACAGGTCGGCTCCGGGTGTCAGGTCAGCCCGCGGTGGGTACTGGGTGGCGGGTCAGCCCGAGGAGGGCGGCCGAGTGTCTGTTCCAGCCCCCCGCGCTCGGTCCGGCCGTCGCGTGCGCCGTGATCGATAGTGCTCGAGGCGCGACGCGGTGCTCACCGCACGCTGAGTGGTTGAAAGTCGTTTGGCTCGCTGCCATCAAAATGAAAAACGGTCGCAATATGAGACGCTGCTGTCTGCCGGGGGAACGACGTCGCGGTGAGAGCGCCACTGGAGACGACTGCTGCCATATGTTCACCGGAACGGCTGCGCGCCTAATTTGCAATGTCCCGGAAATTTCTTATTGTTAGTAACGTACCTCGTCCGTGACGACAAGGGCAAGGAAAAGGCTCTGCACTTCAACCAGCTAAAGCCAGCTGTGGAACGGGAGTCCCACAAACAGGAAACGTCTGGAAGCACCCGGAGGGACGACGCATCGGACACAGCCACAGAAACGCGTCCCAGGAAGCAGACGGGGTCCGAGGAGACTGGACCGGATCCACTGGCGTTGTACTACCTCTGCCAGCGGGCTCGAGATCAGGTGGGGAATGGGGGTACATCTGTGCGGGGGGCCAAGTAACACGACCGGCCCCGCACGACCGGCCCGCTCACGATATTCCAGCATCGCAACATTATTACGTTTCAGCACATTCAGTTGTGAGGTCTAAATTTCGTGTAAGCTCCGTTGGACAAAAAGCTTCCGTCTCACAGTGTCGTTGGTATCTACTACAGCTGAGTTGAGAATGAATCGCCGATGGAATGTTTGTATTAGACAGGCATTGTTAAACAAGCCACAGTAAATCATCTTTCAGCCATCGTCATTCACTGCACGTAGCCGTGAGGTCCAAATGTGACGATTACCTACGACCACTATTTATGCATAACATTAAATCATTGTGCGATTCACTTTTAATGATTTCGATCTGGTTCCAAAATCATTCGATTTGATTTCGATCAAGTATACCTACTCTGATATCGATCTTCATAAATCTTAAGCAGCATAGGTAGGTATTTTATTATCCAACGTAGCATGTTTCTGTATAAGTTGTATCTGCTGCTGCCTACTTGAACGTTTACGTGTTTACGAGCTACGTGTAAAGGTGGCCAACATCGCTGTAAAATTTCACGGCCATAGGTCAACAGACGCCGCCGCAATAAGCGCCACAAAGTGCGTACGTCGCACACGGCGTGGGCGTGGGCGGCGGGGTACTTTTTAGGATTTATAATATAGATAAAAGTGGGACATTTATAAGTTTGGTAATAGAAGACATGTATATTGTATACATCATATCTGCGGATAATGAGAGCCGAATGAAACGTCGAAACGTCGCCTTCATCAATTTTCAACTATCAGCCGTGTATGTAGATCACTCTGATTTTTTTCTATGCTTATTACAATGAGCTAGTGAATAAAAGAAACAATGAATATATTTCATAATTTTCCTCGAGCATTATTTCAATCAAACCAACCCCAATAACATGTATGTAATCTACGAAAGCTCTTTTCTTCAACCTGTTCTTTCTTTCCCTTTTTCTCTCCTTCTCTCTCTCTCTCTCTCTCTCTCTCTCTCTCTCTCTCTCTCTCTCTCTCTCTCTCTCTCTCTCTCTCTCTCTCTCTCTCTCTCTCTCTCTCTCCATCCATAGTCAAGTTCAGCACCTTTAAGCAAGCCCTTCATCTCACCGCCACATCTCCACAAATGTCTGACGTGACACCAAATGCGTTTTAGGATGAAAGAAACCAGATTCTGACCTCCAATGTGTGGCTGAACATGGTAAGTGCGCGGCGGAGGGGTGGTGCCTCCCGCACTGGCCACGCCCACCTCCAGCACCGCACGCCTCCCCGCGCCGTACTGACCGGCGCGGGCCGACTGTGTGCAGTCGCCGCTCACTGAGAGCGTTTGTCGACGTTCTATTCCTCTGTCCTCACTGGCTCCTCAGACTTCTATCCTCCACTATCCTGAGCAGCTCGGACCGCTATTCTTCTATATTCTCAGCGGCTAAGACCGCTATCCCCCGCTATTCTCAGGGGCGCAGACCATTATCCTCAGCGGCTCGGACCGCTATCTCCCGCTATCCTCAGCGGCTTGGACCGCTATCTCCCGCTATCCTCAGCGGCTTGGACCACTTTCCTGCAATGTCCTCAGACCATTATCCTCAGCGGCTCGGACCGCTATCTCCCGCTATCCTCAACATCCCCCAACGCCCCGGGGTGTACCGCATTGCCATAAAATGGCTTCATACTCGGGAACTCATAACCATCCTGATTCGACAGCCCTGGTCAGCTACCAGCTCCGATCAGCTCTCCTCCCCTGGTGCTGACAGCCGGCGTTCAGCTACCGCTGATCTCTGAGTCGTCCATCCATCCTCGGCCCGTGGTGTCGGTCCCGTCGGCCTGTCGCCGCCGCCGTCATCACGTCTCCGCTATACCGTCGTCCATCGCTCTCTTCTGGCCGTGTCGACCGTCTCGGCCGGCCGCGGGGGCAGCTTCTGGCGACTGCCGAGTCTCTGGCGACAGCAGCGACTGTCCGCCAGAGCCGGTCGGCTGCCCGCCCACACCCCGGTCCGCCGGCCGCAGATGATGGTCGACCTTTGGCGGCCGGCGTCTGTGATCGATCTCCGCAGAGGCGGCGGCCGGCCGACATTTCTGCAGTTCGGCCCTTCCCCGCTGCTTGTCACTCCCAGCTCCGCCCGGCCAGATGGACCGAGCCGTCCGTCTCGCTCGTCATTGGCCGCGTGGCAGTTTTTGTAGATAGTTTCAAAACCCTTATCTAAACCACGCAACATTTCTGGAGAAAAAACCTATTCAGGCTAAGAAATCACGGATTAAATGTGAAATGAATTACGAAATTAACGATGTCTTCTTATCAAAAATATCAAACTCTCACATAGAGTTTGCTTGAAAGGTTCCCAGTCCATGAACTGCGCTTGAAACTATATATTCCTCGGTAGCATCGAAATATAACATGCCGTGAGACAGGTGAATGGAAATCCTGCCACGCGCACAGCGGGCCAGAAATCTCAGTATTTTCCAGATCCACATATCCCTACAAAATTTACGGAGGAGCTCGTGATGCCAGGTCGCTGTTCTCTGAACGGAATCCAATCAGTGTGGCGCGGCCTCCTTCGGTCCGCTGCTGAGCTGCTCAGTGGAGATTCCGATCAGTATTTATTCATGACGACCGAGAAAGGCCGGCGGATTTGGGAGACAATCTGGGCGTGCGGACTGAGCTGAGCGCGTGCGCCACTCCGCCCGGCAGGCGGAAACTTCCGCGCCGCTGTCCGCATCGGGGCGCCGGAGGAGTGTCCCGGATGCCCACGTGCCGCCCCTGGGCGCCGGCCACTACCGGACCGCACGGGGGCGCGCTGGGAGCTGCTCTGTGCAGGCCGCTGCGGATTATACCGGGGTGCTGGATCCGCAGCGGTCGGCGACTGCAGTAGCCAGTGGTGCTATCTGGAGCGATAGAGGCCGGTGACTGTCTGGCGGGACAGCAGCGGCCGGTGACTGTCTGGCGGGACAGCAGCGGCCAGTGGTGCTGTCTGGAGGGACAGCAGCGGCCGGTAGCGCTGTCTGGAGGGACAGCAGCGGCCAGTGGTGCTGTCTGGAGGGACAGCAGCGGCCGGTGGCTGTCTGGCGGGACAGCAGCGGCCGGTGACTGTCTGGCGGGACAGCAGCGGCCAGTGGTGCTGTCTGGAGGGACAGCAGCGGCCGGTAGCGCTGTCTGGAGGGACAGCAGCGGCCGGTAGCGCTGTCTGGAGGGACTGCAGCAGCCAGTGGTGCTGTCTGGAGGGACAGCAGCGGCCGGTGGCTGTCTGGCGGGACAGCAGCGGCCGGTGACTGTCTGGCGGGACAGCAGCGGCCGGTGACTGTCCGGGGAGGGGGGAGGGCTCCGGCCGCCGCTCAGCGGCCGTTTGCTGTATGCACTAACTATACGGACAAGTCGCCCAGCCACCAAACCCCATCCCGTAGGACGCTTGCCATGCTTTACCGCATCACAGGCCAGCACCTCTAACAGGTCTTACTTTACATCAGCCCAACTCCCATGCTGGCCCTTTTCCGGCGCCGAGCTCCCTAAGCTGGCCTTTTCCGCAGCCCATCGCCCTAAGCTGGCCCTTTTCCGCAGTCCAGCTCCCTAAGCTGGCCATTTTCCACAGTCCAGCGTCCTGTCACCGACCTCCTGCCTCTGACTGGCCGATAAAGTGTGTGGGTGTTTATCTTGCATTGACACTGGCTGTCTCTGACCGTAGGATGAGAAGAACCAACTTCTAATTACGAATATTTGGTTAAACTTGGTAAGTTGATGCATGGATCTAAATAGACAAGGTCGGGGCCATACTCCTCTGGTGGGCGAAAAGCTTAGCATAGATGTTTGACACTTATTTGCCAATATTTTGTGACATAAGTTTGGTCAAACGCTTAATTTAGACTTCAGAATCACTTTTCATTAGCGAAAAAACAGCATTCCACTGCCGCTGGCTCTACCGGGGGAGACCTCATGGCGCGACCTTCTAACGATAACGCTCACTAGACAGGCACGGTGGGAGGGGGAGCTCGCGGCATGCGGTATGTATCGGCAAGTTTGCACGCCTGCCTGTGTCTGCTTTGGCCCCTTAGTTTGCTGTAGTCCTTGTCGGTGAGAATCACTGTGCACGCCAGCTGATCCATGTTTCGGTAGCGCCTGTTCTGGACTTCTGCGCCGCTCCGCGGCTGATCATGGACACTTTTGGGTTGGCCAGTTGAAGGACCCGGTCAAAGCAGCGAATCACCTTCTGCTCTGGAAACCGTAACAAAGTGCCTTACTAATATAAGTATGCTCAATAGAATGACAGTGCTACACATGTAATTTCAACATCATCGTTATCATTGGGAGTTGGGACCGGTTGACGATTCACTTTTGAAATTATAATGTCCCCACAATCATCAAAATGGTGGCAGTTTCATTCCTCGCGGTTTCATTAAAGTATCCAACGGTACTGACGTGCCAGTTATTTTGATGTCTCATTATGGATACTCTGTAGCAGAGGCAACAATGCAGCGTGTACATACTTTTTTCGTCTGCAGAGTTTTATTATCAATGTTCACACAACACATAAGCATTTAACTGACAGAGCGAATCGTGCGGGGCCCACCTGAACGCTGTTTTTGCCACTCAGACTGCCTGCTGCATGGTTGTGCCTCTTGCATTCTGTCGCTAGAGCACATGTGTTATTTAGTTGCCTTATGATATTTGATCGAACAAATGTAAATTTATTCGGCATCGGTGCAAAGAGCTGCCTTTTCGCCAAACACAGCATAGTTGCCAAAGTTATTTCCCAACAAATCTTTGGAAGAGCGTCTCACTATACGGGAGGGATCTCAGCATGAGGATGACTTCTTCAGGGCAGTATATTTTTTTTTGCGATCATATGTTATTTGCTTTCAAAGTTTCAAGATGATCGGGTGCTTGCCCAGTCATATACAGCACCCAGCTCATTATATTTGACTGTGTGCTCTCCACGGCTCAGTCCTTACGATTAGGTGAGCAAAAAAGACAAATATTTTAAAAGAGAGCATTAATTTGTACAGTCATTGCCTAACAGTCATAGTTTGCCAACGCAATGCGGCAATCGGCAGCATATGACAGCCATGCAGTAAGCCGGGGACCAGGTGGTCCCGGCTGGATCGGCCCACATCAGCTGACACCCCGTGTCCGGCTACTTCAGGAGTGGAATGACGTTAACCTCAGGTGGAACAAGTCCGAGTTCGGGAACGTACAGGACCTGCGAATACCCCCGCACCGGATCTGGAAGCCCGACGTACTGCTCTACAACAGGTGAGCTCGAGCGTCGCCCGGCGCTGTCCGTCGCCCGCAGAACCTCATCTCGGCGCTGTCCGCCGCCGTCCGCCGCCCGCCGCCCGCCGCCCGCCGTCTGCCGCCCGCAGAACCTCCGCAGATGATAGGCGTAGCACTACCCAGTAGCCATACGGCCTTTGCCTCTATTGAATTACCTACCCATCTGCTACCCAACCGGGCCACCGGCAGTGTAGGCCCGGCTCGCGCAGCGTCACTCTAATCGCCGACCAGGTCCGCTGTCACACTGCGTGGATAGACTGTGCCGCTGAACACTTATGCCAGGCGGCACAGTCCAGGTACCAGGCGGCTGCTGCCAGTGTTGAGGCATCGGTAACCGGTGGATCTGTCTTGTTATATTTCATCACCCGATTGTAAGTACCCACAGACGGGTACATTTTGTGACCTACCCCTTCCCATTTTAAGCCGATTGAATAAACTCAACTGTTCTTTGGGCAGCCAATTACTCGAGAAAAGGAAGGGTGGGGTAACCCGGAAAATGTAGCAGCTTTTTCGCTCATTGGTAATGGTAGGTGGTGCGCGGTGGGGGGTTGAATTGAGGAGAGGGGCGTGAAATGACCCTCTCCCGCGCCTCCTTAGGTGGCCCTGGGGGTCGAGGTAGAGGGGCGTCAAACCCCCAGCTCCCGTCCCTCGGTAGGTGGACTGGGGGCAAAGTATTGCGCTGGTTTTCTGGCCCATCAGTCCGTCCCTTCCGGCTATTTACACTGACCATCAGTGGCAATAGTGATAGAGACGGCACTGAAACCAAACCAGTGTGCTCAGTAAACGGATCGATTCCAGCCACCATTCACCTCCCCGTGCAGCGGCCGATCCGCTAGTTAGCAGCTCACTCGCTGCTGACCCGTTAGTTAGCAGCTCACTCTCTGCTGACCCGTTAGTTAGTAGCCCACTCCCTCCGCTGACCCGTAAGTTAGCAGCTCACTCCCTCCGCTGGCCCGTTAGTTAGCAGTCCAACCATCCGCTGGCCCTCAGGACCAACAGCCCACCCCTCCGCTATGTGTCGGTATTTGTCATTCCGCCCTGCAATGTGTCTGTGGCCTCTAGCCAATCCAGTGGGCAGCAGGGACAAACACAAATACCTATCGCCGTTAATTAAGCTGGCTGTTTCTACAGCTTACTATCTTGCCAGAAACGAAGCACTGCCAAAAAAAAAATGCAAAAGCATCCTAACGAGGCGAAATTCGAAGCATCCCGGCATGTAAAGGACTTTTCGGGGAGAATGTCCCCTTCGTAGCGTTCAATGCCGCGTTTCTGACAGGGCTCGTATGTACCTCACTGCTCATGGCCCCGTGCTGTCTGTTCATGTTGGCGGTGCGCCCGGGACCAAAGCAAAGACAGCGTGCTACCAACCGGCGGCAAACACAAATTAATTAGCCCAGCGCTGGTCTGTATGGAGTCCCCCCGCACCCCCTATCGCTCAGCGCCGGCTGGTATGGAGTTGTCCTCGCCCGGCGCCCAGCCGCCACCAAGTCGCACTAAACACAGCACAATCTGTCCCTGTGTCGAGTCGACAAAGAAGCCAGCGGCGCGGCGGCCGGGTCCTATGCTCCGCGCCTCTCCGCGCCGCTCTGCGTCGGTCTGCGCTCCGGGCCGCGCTCCTCACCGGTACAGTGAGGCTGCCGACGGCGCGCCCGCTCGGCCGCCCGCGCCCCTGGCCACCGCTCGGCCGGAACCGCCGGCGCCTCTGGCCACCGTTCGGCCTGCCACTGCCGGCGCCTCTGGCCACCATCGACTGTATCTCGCCCAGCGGCTGTTTGTTCCGAGCAAACGGAGCGCCCGGACCCAGTGAGCCGACGCCGATCGGTCGCCGATGACGGCTGCCGGTCGGCTGCAGCTCGGCTCGGGACGCCCTCGGCTATGGGGCCTCCGGCGCGGGTATTCCGATACCGCCGGACGGCGGAGCACAGTTTGTTTTGTGCATTGTGCGATGCACGACGAAGGTCCATGCGCATTGCGCAGCATACTGCAGGTCGCTGTTGGAAAGTCGACACTCGACACCGCTCTGCTGATAACACAGTTCGAATGGCCATTATATTGTAAAATATCGCCCGTCTCATCACAGAAAAAATGATCAAAGAACGGAGTGGTAAAGTACCTTGACTTAAATGGCAGATCTGGAGCGTAATGTTTAAAATAAAGTGGTTTGATCTTTAGCAGTTTTCAGTATTCTTCGGTAGTATCGGTTTGGTATCTGTTTCCCATTGTTCTTGAAATTGGCGTTCACCTATACACAAGTTTTGAATTAGCCTGTGCCACAATATTCGCCAGAACGAGCACTGCGGCCACTGGTCTCGGTTCGAATCGCATCGGAGCCGTGTCAGCGGAGACCATTAAACCGAGAGGTGTGGTGGCCATTTCATTTGCACTTTGGGCCGTTCGCTGTCGTTCCGCGTAGCTGTTAAGAGTCAGTTATTGGCTGGGCAGATATCTGAGGGCACCGCTCCGCCCCTCCCGCTCCGGGCCGTACCGCTCCCCGCTCTGCACCGGACCCCTCCCCGCTCTGCACCGACCCCTCCCCGCTCCGTACCGACCCCTCCCCGCTCTGTACCGACCCCTCCCCGCTCTGTGCCGGACCGCTCCCCGCTCTGCACCGGACCGCTCCCCGCTCTGCACCGGACCGCTCCCCGCTCTCTGCACCGTAGTGCCGGCCCTCCTCCCGAGCTCTGGGTAGCTCTGAGTGACTCTGAGCATGCCTAGCAAACACCTCACATGCAAACGCACAACAAACCCCGGACACGTGCACCAAGCCCCTCACACGCCAGTACGAGTAGTTTGCTCGTCCTGGTCCCAGCCGACACCACACTCTGTGTTGCAGTGCCGACGAGAAGTTTGACGGCACGTACCACACAAACGTGGTGGTGAAAAACAACGGCAGCTGTCTGTACGTGCCGCCGGGCATCTTCAAGTCCACATGCAAAATCGACATCACCTGGTTCCCGTTCGACGACCAGGAGTGCAACCTCAAGTTCGGCTCCTGGACTTACGACGGATGGCAGGTACGAGGTCCAGCGCTCCCCTTCGCTTCATGCTGGCTTATGTAAATGTTATTACATGGTCCATATGCAGGTAGTGTGCCCTCTAGCAGCATCTATTGCATCGTTACCTCCCACTTACGGAGGTGTGAAATAACTTCAGCATTCACAGTAGGCTCTAAGCAGCGCCTCCGTTGTGATTGCTATGTGTTTCCCAGCCTCTGACCAGCAATTGTTTCGACGTGTTGTCTCAGCCTCTGACGATCGTGTCCGTCCCGGCTGTCACGTGTTTCAGCTGGATCTGATCCTGCCGTCTGAGGAGGGTGACGCCAGCAGTTTTCTACCCAACGGCGAGTGGACGCTGCTGGGTATGTGTCCCGCCGCGCCGCCGGGGCTGACCACCCTGGGCCGAGCGCTGGCACGCGGGGACGGTCCGGGCCGGTCAGCAGCGGCACACTGTCGGCTGTGTGTCACCAGGGGCACACTGTCGGCTGTGTGTCACCAGGGGCACACTGTCGGCTGTGTGTCACCAGGGGCACACTGTCGGCTGTGTGTCACCAGGGGCACACTGTCGGCTGTGTGTCACCAGCGGCACACTGTCGGTTGTGTGTTCAGTGTCCACTGTCAGCAGTGGCACACTGTCGACTGTAAGTCCACTGTCGGCTGTGTGTCAGCAGGGGCACACTGTCGGCTGTGCGTCCACTGTCGGCTGTGTCCACTGTCAGCTGTGTGTCATCAGTGGCACACTGCCGGCTGTGTGTCACACTGTCGGCACACTGCCGGCTGTGTGTCCACTGTCCTGTTGGCACACTGTCAGCTGTGTGTCACCAGCGGCACACTGTCAGCTGTGTGTCCACTGTCCTGTCGGCACACTGTCGGCTGTGTGTCCACTGTCCTGTCGGCACACTGCCGGCTGTGTGTCATCAGCGGCGGCTGGGACGGTTTGGGCCGGTCCACTGTGTCACATTGTCGACTGTGTGTCACACTGTCGGCACACTGTCGACTGTGTGTCACACTGTCGGCACGCTGTCGGTTGTGTGTCAGCAGGGGCACACTGTCGGCTGTGTGTCACCAGTGGCACACTGTCGGCTATGTGTTACCAGCGGTACACTGTCGGCACAATGCCGGCTGTGTGTCCACTGTCGGCACAATGCCGGCTGTGTGTCAGCAGTGGCACACTGTCGGCTGTGCGTCCACTACCGGCTGTGTGTCACCAGCGGCCAACTGTCGGCTGTGTGTCAGCAGGGGCACACTGTCGGCTGTGTGTCAGTAGGGGCACACTGTCAGCTGTGCGTCCACTGCCGGCACACTGTCGTCACAATGCCGGCGGTGGCCCCGGCTGTTAGGACGACTGAATTGAATAACTGAAGATTGGGTCGCTCCGTTCTTTATAGAGATGCCAATTTCAAACTAAATCCGAACCGATACCAGCTAAAAACATGGTAGATACAAAAGTTAAATAATGTGCAGGGAAAACGAAAAAGAACTGAATGTTAACATATGAGTTACGAGTTATTCCCACTACAAGGGAAAAACTAATGTATCCATTTATAGGTAAAGTTATGCCAAAATTAAAGACTTGGAGAAACGAATACTAAAACGATATTGTTTGAGTATCGGTCTGTCAAACATTTGGTTCCTGATTGACATCTCTGCTCAGCTGCCGCAGCGCTCTATACTCGCCTTTCGTTGCACATAAATTAAAAATTAAATAATGTCGCTGAATAATGTGCGCTGCTGCTTGTCTACATGTTCGTACACAAGTCGTGCTCTTATACGGTCACAAGCTCTCTTCTTTTATGTGTATGTTTGTAGTGTATAAAAAATATTTTCTAGGTGAATGCAGGTACCTATATGACTTTAACCCACAAAATCAAATAAACCAAACAAAACGCATCAGCTTTAAACCTAAATGGATGAAGCTTACATATGTAGAATGCAGAGCCTTTTAGCAGGAACCTAACTTAGCACGGTAGGAAATGCATTATAATACAGAATCACAGACCTCTATAGTATATATGCATCACAATAGACGACTAGTTAGAGCACACCTAGGTATGAAGCAGTTGATGGTAGCTCGCATGAATGCGGTCGCCTATGGCAGAATGCATACATCTGCTGATTACATTAAAAAGCGGCGTCAAAAATTCAGCTCACACCATAGATACATGAAGGAAGGTATAAAGTTTTTTTTAAGCAAAGATACGCTTCCCTAGCCGGCGTTGATGTACTTTATCCTTAGACCATAACAAGAGAGTATTTTCGCATAAACCACATGCATGAAATTGCATTTTGATGGCGACAGACCTACTGACACTTTTGCCAGGCCTATCGGTTTCCTGCCCATCCCCGCCGTCTCGCTATTGAGTTAGCGAGATTTGTACAAAAAGGACCATACTGATCGATACATGGGACAGCAAATATTGCCACTTTAAGGTCACAGGTCTACCGGTGACCTCTGAGGTCATGTCAAAAGCGTAAAAGTGATGGTCCGATTTACTGAGAAATAGTGTCGCTTAAGCTGGTCACGGAGCAATTATTTTAGCGCTATTGCGCTGGTCATGTATGTACTTCCGCGTCGATTGACATACCATTTGTTGGGAAGGTTAACTTGAATATCAGCCCTGGGTCAGAACAGGTCAAAACCGATGAGGTCAGTAAGCTGGTGGACGGAATGCAATGGACAAAGATTAGATTTGAATCAAAGCTTCCCAATTTGGCCGAGAGGTCAAGCATCAATACAATAGCAGCTTAGATTCACATTAGCATGCCTGGTCATAGAAATCTGTAAAAGTGTACAGAGATTTATGGCTTGGTAATGAATATCCAAATTTGTATGTCACTGTCAAGCAATTGTATGCTCTTCAAACACATAAATAAGAAGAAAATACAAATCTAAGCAGAATAATGAATAAAGTGGTGCAATAAATACTGCATGTATATAGTTTCATTTAAAGTGCATGTAACTAACCGTGAAGGACCACCGAGGGCTATGGGAGGCTGAACGATAAGAGCACGACTTGCTGTACACAAGTGGCGTGGATAGATCGGTGAGTTTGTCACTGGGCTTTCTTAGCCGGCGCCTCGCTGAGCTGGGCAGCAAGGCCCTCCCACGCCTTGCTGCGGAATGATTGGGCAGAGTATGACTCGGCTCCATGGCTGTGGAGTAAAAACAACAGGTGGCAGTCCAAACACCGTCAAAAATGAAGTCTAACGTAATCTGAAATACGTGAAATTAGACAACTTGAGGTCACCAAATGTCCATTTCTTCAAACTTTCAATGTTTAAAAATAAAACCTCATTTCCTGAAGTCTGAACAAACGAAGGAACCTCATTTCCTGAATGAGTAGACGCAAAGCGACAAAAACATACCTCTTTTGGCGTTTACAAGGCCTGATGTCAGTTTTCCCACACTAAAATATGTGGACATCGGGACATCGGGAGCTCATGCCGAAAACGGTATGATGTGTGTGTTAAATTGAGGAAACGCTTGGGCGCCTGGGTGCCAGATTTTAACAACTTTCTCTGAAAAGTAAACAAAGGGAGTTCGGTCTCCTCCCCAGCAAGGCGTGGGCACAGATTTGTAAGATGGCACAGAGTGCCTAAAAGAGCATCATTCCAAGCCACTTCATACTTACTTGGAAATGTGTCTAAAATATTGTTTAACTGAGTGTTTTGTGCCTCCATGTTTTGTGTTCTACCTGCTTTCTCTCTCCTCTGTGTTTTAGGTGTACCGGGGATTCGAAACGAGCTCACGTATGCCTGTTGTCCGCAACCGTACATTGATATAACGTACCAGATACTGATCCGGCGGCGCACGCTGTACTATTTCTCCAACCTGATAGTACCGTGCGTGCTGATCGCCTCCATGGCCGTGCTGGGCTTCACGCTGCCGCCCGACAGCGGCGAGAAACTCAGCCTAGGTAAACGGGCGCACCGCGCGCCGCCGCCTCCACAGTCGTCTGTTCACGTGACCCGTCTTTTGTTCTCCGTACATTGGAGGTGAGGTGCCGTACCCCAGCAATTGTCTTATGGAGCTACTGTCGCAGGCTTCGCTTCCCTCAGCTCATTGCAGTAGATACTAGATAGTCTACGATTAAGAAGTAAGTTTAGTTCATGAAGAACTGCTTTTGAAGAAATTTTGTTTCTGAATAATTTCAGTCATGCCTGTCCTACAGGGCAAAATCATGGGTCTGGCCGCTGACGCCGCTTGAGTTTGCACGGCTTCCCCCCACCCCTGCCGTAGAACCCGTGTAGCGCCGCTGCTCCCCGTCCCCTCTGTGTGGCGGCCAGCCCCGAGCATCCCCAGGCGCGGCACCTCACCTCAGCTCACCTCAGCTCAGCTCGGGCTCTGGTTGGGCTCAGCTCGGGCTTAGATCGGGCTCGGAAAGGGCTCGGCTCGGGCAGAGCTCGGGCTCAGCTCGGGCTGTGGTTGGGCCCAGCTCGGGCTCAGCTCGGGCTCAGCTCGGGCTCAGCTCGGGCTCGGCTCGGGCTCAGCTCGGACTCGGGCTGCGCTCGGCTCGGGCTCGACTCGGTTTCGGCTCGGGCTCAGCTCGGGTTCGGCTCGGGCTCAGCTCGGGCTCAGCTCGGGCTCAGCTCGGGTCTGCCGGCTGATCGCCAATGACGTCACGTGTACACCTGTTCGGCAGGGCTGCCCGGCGTGCGCCACCAGATCCTGTACGCCTGTTGTTCCGAGCCGTACAGCAGCATCACGTACACGGTGAAGCTGCAGCGGCGCACCTTCTACTACGTGCATAACCTGGTCCTTCCCGGCATCCTCATATCGGGCATGGTGCTGCTCGTCTTTACCCTGCCGCCGGCGTCGGGCGAGAAACTTAGTCTAGGTAGGCAGACGGTACAGCTGTGACCAAAACTCTTCGACTATCTATGACCCGTGCGTCTCTGACTGTCCGTGACCCCCGCCTCTCTGTCTGTGACCCAGCCTCTCTGACTGTGACCCCCGCCTCTCTCACTGTCTGTGACCCCCGCCTCACTGTCTGTGACCCCGCCTCTCTGTCTGTGACCCCGCCTCTCTGACTGTCTGTGAGCCCCGCCACTCTGTCTGTGACCCCCGCCTCTCTGACTGTCTGTGAGCCCCGCCACTCTTGTCTGTGACCCCCGCCACTCTGTCTGTCTGTGACCCCCGCCTCTCTGACTGTCTGTGACCCCCGCCTCTCTGACTGTCTGTAACCCCCGCCTCTCTGACTGTCTGGCCTTCTGATCCTCACGCGCTGCTGTCTTGCGCCACACTCTATCCCTGGGTTGTGTGGTTCTATAGCTCTTTTTTCCTGGTTTCTATGAACTTCATCCTAATCCTAGCTGGTGGGGTCTTGTTCTCACTCTACCTCAGGTAATGAAGTCCTGTAGCCCTATCGTTGTGCCCGAGTATCATGATTGTGTGGCTCTCACTGCCCAGGGTTAATACGGCTCATTAGTCATTACTCTCCTCCTGGATGTATGACTCTGCGGTTCTTTCTCTGTCCCTGGTTTCTGTGGTTCTCATCCGCCTCTGCGTGGTGTCGTTCTTTGGTTCTCACTGTGCCCCTGGGTTGTGTGTTTTTGTGGTTCTATCGCCGCCTCTGCAGGCTTACTGAAACATCGACTCGCCGCGTGCCCTCAGCCCTATCTCGATCCCGCTACGTTCCTCTCTCTCTCTCTCTCTCTCTCTCTCTCTCTCTCTCTCTCTCTCTCTCTCTCTCTCTCTCTCTCTCTCTCTCTCTCTCTCTCTCTCTCTCTCTCTCTCTCTCTCTCTCTCTCTCTCTCTCTCTCTCTCTCTCTCTCTCTCTCTCTCTCTCTCTCTCTCTCTCTCTCTCTCTCTCTCTCTCTCTCTCTCTCTCTCTCTCTCTCTCTCTCTCTCTCTCTCTCTCTCTCTCTCTCTCTCTCTCTCTCTCTCTCTCTCTCTCTCTCTCTCTCTCTCTCTCTCTCTCTCTCTCTCTCTCTCTCTCTCTCTCTCTCTCTCTCTCTCTCTCTCTCTCTCTCTCTCTCTCTCTCTCTCTCTCTCTCTCTCTCTCTCTCTCTCTCTCTCTCTCTCTCTCTCTCTCTCTCTCTCCTCTCTCTCTCTCTCTCTCTCTCTCTCTCTCTCTCTCTCTCTCTCTCTCTCTCTCTCTCTCTCTCTCTCTCTCTCTCTCTCTCTCTCTCTCTCCTCTCTCTCTCTCTCTCTCTCTCTCTCTCTCTCTCTCTCTCTCTCTCTCTCTCTCTCTCTCTCTCTCTCTCTCTCTCTCTCTCTCTCTCTCTCTCTCTCTCTCTCTCTCTCTCTCTCTCTCTCTCTCTCTCTCTCTCTCTCTCTCTCTCTCTCTCTCTCTCTCTCTCTCTCTCTCTCTCTCTCTCTCTCTCTCTCTCTCTCTCTCTCTCTCTCTCTCTCTCTCTCTCTCTCTCTCTCTCTCTCTCTCTCTCTCTCTCTCTCTCTCTCTCTCTCTCTCTCTCTCTCTCTCTCTCTCTCTCTCTCGTATACGCCAAATACTGTCATCTGCTCCGTTGATGTGCCAGTTTAATAGATATACTCGTATGTTTCAGACTTATTGTCGTATGTTGATGCCCTTCACATTAGTTATCCAGAATGTTCTCCGCAAAAGACATTATGGAGCCTTTTCACACCGGATTATCTTTTAACTATTCGGTCAAATCAGGCCAGACCGGTTTCGACTCCGATCGACTTTCCGTATTTTCTCAAAGACATTTCATTCCGAAGAAAGACGTAAATGAATACATGGTTAAACACAATTGTACGTAAATGAATGCATAGTTAAACACACCTGTATGCTGTTAACTGTGTACCTCTCATACATGCTATCCCCGTAAAAGGCCCGCCATACGCCTTTTCAGTTCCAGCATGTGTTTGCAGCTTTTTAAGTTCTATAAGTTTTGTTCGAATTTAATTTTCTACTTTTTTGACACATGCCCTTGGCAGCAAGATACCCTTTTTGATTTTACTGCGTTTTCCTGTCCATCAGCGAACCCGAGTGTGTGGTGCTCAGGCTCCTTCCATCACCCCCGTGCAGGGCGGATGATGGATCTGCAGACTGCTGCATTTGCGCAATGTGCCCCCCCCCCCCCATAGGGGAGAGTGGGGAAAGATGCCCAGGGTTTTACTATGTCATATATTATTCGAAAATGACGATGGGAAAGCAAAAACTTGGGCTGGGGGGATCCAGAGCGTCGTAAGCCTCGTCGCAGCTGCGACGTGTCGCAAGTTGTGTAGTAAGTCGTTTTTGGAGGGATCAATTGATGAGTAGCGTTACTTAAGAAGTAAAGTCTATCGCAAAGTGCCTGATTTACGACACAACTTACGAATTTGAAATAGCAGTCGTAAGTTGTGTCGCAAGTTGATATGGCCTTGAGGGAGAGGTCACAGGTCACAGGTCATTGGGGTCATGGTCACGAAATTTGCATGGTACGTGGAAAATTGTTGAAACTTGAGATCCTGAAAATTTCGTTGCAATCCGTTGCCGCTAACGCGAGTTATAAAGCAAGAACCAACGGTTCGTCTATGAGGCCTCAATCCGCGCCAGCGAGAGTGTTGAACATGGTGCATAATATGTTATATTCACATTTATTGGGGTATTCAGGGTTATGAAGTAGCCTAATACCATTCCAGCAACTACTGGCGAATCCAGAAAGGCGGTCTTGGACGTTGCGAGGGGCATCCCCCAAAAGATTCTCCAAATTCTAAAAACGATGTGTCCCAGATGACCCCCATGACCTCGAATTGATCTCTGTGATGACCCCAAGTTGACCTCTGTGACCTGACGTGTCCCAGATGACCTCCAATTGAGCTTTGTGATGACCCCAAGTTGACCTCTGTAACCTGACGTGTCCCAGATGACCTCCGTGACCTCCAATAGAGCTCTGTGATGACCCCAAGTTGACCACTGTGACCTAACGTGTCCCTTGATGGCCCCAATGACCTCCAATAGAGCTCTGTGATGACCCCAAGTTGACCTCTGTTACCTGAAGTGTCCCAGATGAACTCCGTGACCTCCAATTGAGCTCTCTGATGACTCCAAGCTGACCTCTGTGACCTGATGTGTCCCAGATGACCTCCAATTGAGCTCTGTGATGACCCCAAGTTGACCTCTGTAGCCTGACGTGTCACAGATGACCTGCGTGATCTCCAATAGAGCTCTGTGGTGACCCCAAGTTGACCTCTGTGACCTGACGTGTCCCAGATGACCTCCAATTGAGCTCTGTGATGACCCCAAGTTGACCTCTGTAACCTGACGTGTCCCAGATGACCTCCGTGACCTCCAATTGAGCTCTGTGATGACCTCAAGTTGACCTCTGTGACCTGACGTGTCCCATATGACCTCTGTAACCTCTAAGTGACCCCTCTGACGACTCCTAGCTGACCTATCTGACCTGATGTGCCCCAGATAACCGCCATGACCTTCAATTGAGCTCTGTGATGACCCCAAGTTGACCTCTGTGACTTGACGTGTCCCAGATGACCTCCGTGACCTCCAATTGAGCTCTTTGATGACCTCAAGCTGACCTCTGTGACCTGGCGTGTCCCAGATGACCCCCAGTTGAGCTCTGTGATGACCCCGAGTTGACCTCTGTAACCTGACGTGCCCCCAAGTTGCCTTCTGTGACCTGACGTGTCTCAGATTACTTCCGTGGTCTCCAATTGAGCTCTGTGATGACCCCAAGTTGACCTCCGTGACCTGAAGTGTCCCAGATGACCTCTGTAACTTCCAATTGTGACCTCAATCTCCAACTCTACTAGCTCTCTGTGACCTCATACTCTCTTAACTCATTTCTTCTAAAGCATCGCTTCTAGATGCCCTATAGCGCCACGAATCTCCTGTCATCGATCCCAAAATTCATCGCAACTCACGTGAGCGTTAGCAACCACAAGTCACCCAGTTGAGACAAAGCTTCAGAATCAGAGAACATGCTTGAACTGGCTGTCTCATAAGCTCGCAAA